GTGCAATTGTGTTTGTCTTGCTATTTCCCGATCCCAACTTTAAGTAGCCATTTTGCCTTGGAATCATGATTACAAATTTTTCCTTTGCAGATGCCTTCCTGGGGGATACTTGCCCCTGCACCCAAAAGGGTTGCCTGCAACTAGGGCTGCCTTGGCTCTGCTGTGGCATTCTGTCATGAGAAACACTGAATTTAGCACAAAGTGCCTTGTCTGCCACAGCTGCTGCCACCTTTGGAAAATGTTTGCTGCGTTAGAAAATGTGGAGGTTCTATGTTAATGCATTGTTAAGAGTTCGTTTCAAGTGTTGGTAACTGCTGAAGCATTATTTGCACCTGTGTGGTAACTCGCAGTGTCATGGCCAACCTATGACTGGGACTCGCTCTGCCAGTCTTGACACTGTGAAGGTCAGGTATGTCCTAGCTCAGCCATTCAGAGAATAGAAGACTTAAAACTGTAAGCAAAATGACTTTGGTTTTCATGTCTTAGGAAAAGAAAACAGAATGTTAGGAAGTCTTGACTCTGGGTAAGGGCACTGGCGGTGTTAGCTCCTTGAGCTGTCATTTAGAGCCTGGTGCAGAGGAGGTAGAAGGGCCTGTGGGTGGCTTTGAGCTATGTATTACCAAACAGTTGGGGTCCTGAACCCTGTGTGTTTGCAGGAGTGTGTGAGCATGGATGGAGAAGTCAGAGTAGTGGTAGACCCGTTGTGGTGGGGATGCTTCGTTCTGGGAAATGCCCACATTTTAACTATTCAACTTTTGAATAAACTGTGAAAACAGTAGTGGAACTTGGTTGTGGTTTTATTTCACGTGCCGTATTGAAAGTAGCTGTGGCCGGGTTTTGGTGACATGTGCCTTTAATCCCAGCACTCGGGAGGCAGAGGCAGGCGGATCTCTGTGAGTTCAAGGCCAGCCTGGTCTCCAGAGCGAGTGCCAGGATAGGCTCCAAAGCTACACAGAGAAACCCTGTCTCGAAAAACCAAAAAAAAAAAAAAAAAAAGTAGCTGTGACCTGAAATCCAAGGAAGCAGAACACTGGTGGCCCTGCCCGATCTTTTTGTCCAGCGATATGGATATTGCACTGTTGCACTGTTCTCTTGATACAAAATGCTTTCTGTCTGGAGCTGGTCTTCTGAATTTATTCATTGAGAGAGACTATGGAGGCCCCTCCTATCTGTCTCTGTGCGGACAAAACACTTGCTGGACAGGTGGTGTCACTGGATCATCCAGGAATTTAAAACTTAAAATGTGGTATTTCTCAGTCCTAAATATTTGTTTAATTTATTTAAAAAAATCATTTATTGTGTGTCACAACTTTATGTGTGGTGATCACAAGACAACTTGTAGCAGTCGGTTCTTTATGTCAGCCAAAAGGGTCCAGGGGATCAAACTCAGGTCATCAGGCTTGTATAGCAAGTGCAATTACTGTTTTTCTTTGCTGCAGCTTCGGGCAATGAAACATGATCCATCAAATTCAGCAAACCCACATTTTATTTATTGGAGTTTATTGGGAAAGGAAGCAAAGGGTAGGTAGGTGTTAACCAATCAGGAGCAGAAATGGAGAGAGAGAGAGAGACAGGGAAGGGGAGGGAGGGAGGAGAACAGGCAGGAGGTGCTTGCTTATGTAGGGAATGGGAGCAGTTTAGAACGAGTCTCAGCAGTTGGGGCCCTTGAAACTGGAGTCATGGAGCTGCTTTTGGCTGCCCAGCTCCATGAGGCCCCACTTCCACGTGGTTTCTGCATGCACAGTCCTTATGTAGCCTTATGTAGCATAATACGTGCATTATGCAGCCATGCAGCTTTTGACAGCTGCCAGCGAGGATGGATCATCTGTCAAAGATGGATCCCCGGTCAAGGGAAGGTAGCCTGGAGACCAGCTATCCAGGGGCAGGGAGAGAGACCAAGGATTAGAGAGGCCCGTGACCAGAAAAGGTTCCTTAAGGAGCAGGCCCAGGCCCAGCAGAGGGCTGGCACAAGTGACAGATGCCTGAGGAGAGGAGTGGGGAGCAGGAACAGAGCCAGGTTGCCTAGGACCCGGGAAGAGGGAGAAGCCACCTCTTACTATTAAAAGATGGGAGATTAAACAGGGGGTGTCAGGTAGGGCAGGAATATGGGGCACCAAATCGTGAAAACTTCCCACTGACTTTGGGAGCGTTGACCATCTTTGGGTGGGGGAGAGAAAGCCGGGGTCCTGCCACATCCTGGGGTAGCTGGTTGTTTCATTGCAGTCCAGGCTGTATGGAACTCTCTGGCACCTCTTAGATCTTTACATTCACTCAGGAGGCACAGATGGTTGATTGGAGGGCGCTTGGACGGCTTGGTGGTCTTTGTCTCCAGATCCATGGCTACCACAGGCATTGCTGCAACAATAGCTAATTGACTGGGTTAGGAGTTTTAATGAGTTAATTGGGAGATACACAGAGAGGAGATTGAGCAGGGTATAATTAGTAGAAGCAGGAGAACTCAGATCAGCCTGAGGGAAGAAGGGGTTCCCAGGCCGGCACAGTGTGGTTGTAGGGGTGAAGCCTCATTCTGAAATCGGTGACAAGGTAGTTGACCTCAGTGTCCTCCCAAGCGAAGCGCAAGGTCCTGCTGGGGTTGCTGTGTGTGAAGGGTGACCTTCAGGTGGAGAAGGGAAGGGTTTTTGAGGTGGGATAAGTGAATCCAGTGGGGGAGGCCCTCAAGCTTAGCAGCTGTTGGAGTGACAAGAATCACCTTGAAGGGGCTCTGCCATTTAGGGGGAAAGGGTGAGGGGCAAAAGGTGAGGGGCGTTGGTCTGGAGGAGAGAGAAGGACCTGGTCCCCAATGTTAATTGGGGATGCACAGGGTTGGCACATGGTTGAGGTAGGGGGAGTGTTCAGTAAAGTTCCATAGAGGGAACGGAGGTGAAGTAAGGGTGTGAGAAGGTGATGAGGGAGAGGTGAGGGCTTAGGTGAGAGACCAGGTGTTAGAGCCAGCCGTCCATATGAGTTCAAAGGGTGAGATGAAAAGGGGTTGTTTGGGGAGAACCCTGAGCCTGAAAAGGGCCAGAGCTTTACCCAGTCAAGGTGAAGTTCCTGTGACATTTTAACAAGAACAGTTTTGAAGTTAGTTCATTCTACCTTCCCTGAGGACTGGGGGTGATATGCGATATGAAAATGCCAAGGGGTTTTGAGAGCTGTAGATAGCATTTGGGGGATCTGAGAGATGAACTTGGGACCATTGTCTGACTGAAGAGAGGATGGAATTCCAACAGAGGAGCAATTTCCCTGAGAGGGATGTTAGACACTAGGCTTTTTGGGGTTGTTTGTTTTTTTTGATACAGGGTTTCTCTGTGTAGCTTTGGAGCCTATCCTGGCACTCGCTCTGGAGACCAGGCTGGCCTGGAACTCATAGAGATCTGCCTGCCTCTGCCTCCCGAGTGCTGGGATTAAAGGCGTGCGCCACCACATCCGTCCGACACTGGGTTTTTTGTTAGTGGTTGGGAACACTTCTTCCTATCCCGAGAAGTTATTAATACCAGGAGATATTTGACTCGTCTGACTGTGGGCATGTGGGTAAAGTCAAGTTGCCAGTCAGCCCCTGGGAGAGAAAGCCCCTGGCCTGCTGGATGGGAAAAGGGGGACTATGATATTTGGAGTTAGGGTCTGACATCTGACAGGTTTTACAGTGATACAGGTTACAGTGATAGTTCTTAAGAAAGTCCTCAGGGGTGGGCTGGAGGTGAGTCTTGACAAACAGAAAGAGCCTTACTGTTAGGGTGCAAAAGCTGGTGTAAATAGGACAGAATTTGTGTCAGGAGGTGACTGTGAGGATGTGGGTTGTACTGTATGAACTCCCTGTGGTGGGTGAGGTGAGTCTGGGTCTCGAAGGGCTGCAGCCCTAGCTGCTTTATCAGCCCGGTTATTGGTTGTTGCCCTTAGAGATAATGGAGCTGTCAGATGAGACCGGCAGAGAATAATCCCTATAGCTTCTGGTAGGAGGGAGGCCTTTATCATGGCCATAATATGACCTGAGTTAGTTATGGATCCTCCTTTTGTAGTAAGCAGCCTGTGCCCTTTCCAGATAGCAGCATGGGACAGGAGGATGTGGAAAGCATATTTGGAGTCTGTGTAAACATTTAGGAATTGTCCTTGTGCTTATTGGAAGGCACAGGTGAGAGCTGTTAGTTCAGTCTGCTGGTTAGTGTGGGTGGGGCGTGCCCATGTCTTCACCATCCTGGTATCTGACACCATGCCATAGCCTGCTCTACAGTCCCCTCATGTAAAAAGGAGCTGCCATCTGTGTACCAGGTGTAGGTGGCCTGAGGTAGTGTGCCCTCCTGTATGTGTGACAGATGGGGCAGTAGTTCTTCCTGGGTTTCATTGCAGGAATGAGATGGCAAATAGTATTCAGGTGAGGTAGAAAATTTGAGATATTAAGGGGTGGGCAGGATTGGAAAGTAAGTGTGGCATCTTCTACCAGCCTCACCTGTAGGGAAAGAACTCGGGAAGGAGGTAGAGTTTGTAAGCCTCTGTAGGTTAGGAGATGAGACAGGGTGTGGTGGAAGACAGTGGTGGGTGACCCAAAGGTTAATTTCTTTGACTCACGGATAAGGAGCTCAGCAGCTGCTAAAGCACGTATGCAGAGTGCCGACCCTTGGGTAGTCAGGTCTAGTTTCTTTGACAGATATGCTACAGGTGCAAAGGAAGGTCCTAGCTGGTGGCTAGAACTCCAAGGGCATATTCCTTGTCATTGCTTCTCACCTGATCTGAACTAAACTAGTCAGTCCACAGAGGTCTCTGGTCTCCTAAGCGCTTGATTTTATATTTGGTTGAGGGTCAGGGTTAGCTGGATTGGAGTGTGGGGTCTCCAATGGCAACTAATTGTGAACTCCGCAAGGCAGCCTAGAACTGCAGGGAGGAAGAGCACAGGCGGGTTAGGCAAGTCCATGTCCTAAGGAAAGGAGCCCACTGTCTTGGCCAGTAGACACCACCCCTCACACATTAGAGGGTTGTGATTTTCTTTTCTAGTAAATAACAATGGACACAAATAAAAATATTTTATTATAGAAAAGCATCCCATATATAGGATTCCGTAAACACTGGTAGGTGAACAAGTGCAACTTCAAAAGTAAATACAAAGTAAGAGGCAAAACCTACAAGCATTTTGCCTTTAGGAGAAAATGTAATTTTCCAGAAATGATCCCATCCAGACACAAAAGTGGCTCTGTCTCCTGGGGAGGCGGCAGCATCCTGCCGTGCTCCCTGCACCCACCTCAGTAACTGCAGACGGCAACAAGTGGCAGCAAGGGTGCCACTAAAACAAACTGAGTCATACACTGAAGCTGAAGCCTGTGCTCTGAGCATTCCTTCTCCCTAAGACACACCCTCTGACCCTGAGAGGATGTCCCTTCTGTGAAGCTCCTACAGCACTTCTCCAGCCTGGACCCTCTCCTGAGGTGCTGAGTAAAGTAACCACCACCACTGTACCCACCCAGTCTCTTCCATCTTCCAATTTTGCCATTACCTTTTTCTGCCATGGAGAGCCATGTAATTTTTGACGTTCTAATACTGTGTCCCTGTCTCCACCGCCTCACTGGCAGGTGTTTCTCATCAGCTACACAGGCTACAAAGACTTTACACTGAACAGTCAAGCCTCAGGTTCAAGTTATCTTCTATCTTGCTAAGATGCTGAGACTTTGAGTAAAGTCACTTTTCTCATGAGACTGTCTCTGTGCACACAGCCCGACTTACTTATTCAGGCACTTACAAAAGATACATCAGCTCCAAATCCCTCTTTATTAGAGAAGTCTTCTCCCTCATACAGCCAGTAACCAACTCGAAAGACGACTGTACCCCAGCCCTTGATCCTGTAAGGAGCACTAAAGAACATCCCAACTCTGGGAACAGCAGGCAAGACTGAGGTGGGGCACCAGACTACAAGACTGAAACGTAGGGAGGGGTTAGGGCTCTCCACACTGCCTGTGTTGTGTCCCAGGCCTTCTTTAGTCCTCACCACCCAATGCCACTGATGAGCCTTTAGACTGCCTCCTCTCAAATGCCATGGGCTGGAGCCACAGCACGGTGACTTATTTGGGGTATGGGGTAAGACCTAGTTCATAGAAGGCAGTGAACCAACTCCAAACGACAAAGAAAGGACTGCTTACACCTCAACACTACACACACACACACACATTCACAGTCCAGTGGCCATCAATGGGTCAGCACTGGGAAAGCACCACTGAACCAGGGCCTGGGCTGTTCGGCTGCTAGCAGGCAAATGTAGCACCAACAAAGTCAAGGCCAAACCTGACCTCAGACATGAGCCAGTAAACTTCCCAGAAGTAACTTCTGGACACAGATAACCTTAATCCGTATTCTGGATGCTGGTCTTCAGCCTCACCAAGATACCAACCATCACCACAAAAACCAGTCACACTTCAGTTTTCTGTCTTCTGAGCAAGGGAAGATCTCACACCAACTCCCACTGTGATGCTGCCATGACACAGAAACACCCTTCTAAGAACGGTCTTGTTCTTCCCAAACCTGACTTTACTGCCATCAAGTAGTATACTATACAGGACCCAATGGGAGCCAACTTCAAGAAACCAACCATGGTCATGAAGGAACTTGAAGGAAGCAGCTTACGTGCATCACCTATAATGGGAAAACGTCGAGGGTGGAGGACAGATTCAAGGTCAACGTCTACCAGGAAGTAAGGTAATCCCAGACACTGCAAACAGCCATGGAAATGGCAGAGGAAGGTGCTGAGCACTAATCTGGACTGCCATCTACCACACGTGGAAGAGTGAACAGAGCAAACCAAATGACAAGGCCTGGACCTGACCCTGGGGAGGACAGTAGTATATATAATAGCCCAGCAGCTAATGGGCTATTGAAAAAGAAGAAAGGAAAGAAAAACAAAAACGTGAATGTATTGGTGTGAACTCTGGGGCAGCACCTGCACAAGTGACAATTCCTGTCCACCCACCCACAACCCTCCTCTCTGGAGCTCACAGGAAGCTACCAAGCAAACCTCTCACCTTCAGGGTACCAAGTCTCCTGCCACACCCACCGCACCACGCTGTCCCTGGGAACAGGGCCTGTGGCTTCCCGCCAGAGGAAGGTCCCACTGGCCTGATCCGGAGCCACTCTGCCACCAGATTACAAATTTCACTTCCAAATGAAGCATCATTTTGGGTTCTGAATCCCTGAGGCCAAAGGCCGCACTACCACTGCAGGGCCACGCTCTTCCTGCTGTAGACCCTGGTCCTGTGTTAATGCGGAGCAGAGCTGAGTCTGAGCGCTTGGGGACGCCTTTCAGACATTCTACCCAGATGGCACCTGGGCGCGGGCCCCAGCAACTGCCTTTCACCCACCCTGGCACACCTCAACAGGGCACACCTGCCCCAGCGCACGCACAGTCTCCTTTGACGTTTGGTCCCTTTGCTATTTAGCAAACCCCTCCCACCGGGTGTAAAGGATGCGACTACTGTGCCAATCATGAGGCAGCAGGATTCGACTTATTCTCCTGCAGTTGTCAAGACACAACCAGCAGCATCAGACCCAAAATGTTTACCAGGGCTGCCTAAACTGGTCGCCCAATTACTGCTTCGCCCGGCCAGAGGCAGACTCAGAAGGGCATGATAACAACTGAGAGGGACAGAACAAATGGGAGGAAGCATCCCCTTCGGGTGAGAACCCACAGGAGGATAGGGAAGACGGGTTGAGGGTACCACACAGAGAAGAGCTCTGGCAAGGGAGGAGCAGACCTGATCGTCTCTAATCTTGGAAGTCATTAGGAGCCATCTGAGACAGAGGGGCATTTAACCGGTCAAGTTCATCCACTTGCGGCGGGTGGTGCATTATTATCTCCTGGTCTTCCAAGACGTCCTCTCCAGTAGCCACCAAGTTAGTGAGGGATTTGCTGCGAACACACTGGAAATCCACATGGCGACTCTTCCCTTCTTCCTTCTCCCACGACATCTGGATAAAGGGGCGCTGTACGTAATTGTAGATAACTTCAGACCTCCCACCAGGCCTCCTCTTAATCTTCTCTTTGCAGGTAGGGTAGCCTGCAACAGGAAAACTCCGAGCTCACAATCCCAGCAGAATATGCTGGCTCCAGCATCTACTGTCAAATCCAAAGACAGCAAAAGCTCTGTGGCAGGTGATCAGTGCTCCCCAGGCCCCTGTGCCCTGGAAGGGGGTGATCTGTGAGAAGTCACAAGGATTTCCCCCTTTTAATGAAAAGGGGAGGGAAACCACTTACTAACTCCAAGAGCCTTTAGTTGTGGGGAACACCACCACAGGACAAAACCCCATAGGGCACAGATACTCGGTCATCTTATGAATACTGTCGTGTAGAAGGCAGGGGTTAAATGAATAAATAAGCAAATGTGCAATGTTTATCTAAAGAGAGAACCCAGAAGGTTCATGGAGATGGACAGACTCCAAGCAGTAGGAGAGGCAGGGAAGGGACAGCCAGTTCTGGGCATCTGGAGTACTTCCAGCCATAATGGCTTGGCAGATACCCAGGGAGAAGGGGTGTTCCTGTCCCCCTGTCACCGGGTCTTATCAGAAACCAGGCAAAGGCAGTGTGAAAAGGACAGACCAATGAAGTATCTCCAAAGTTTCTGCTGATTTAAAATCCCTGGTCAGATACAATGCAGTTTTGAGTTCTGTGTGCAGTAAGGGCACAGAAGCTGGGCTGCAAACACACCAAGACATCCCTCAAAGGGAAACAACCTCAATTTCTACTTTATTTATTTAAAGGAAAGACAGAGTCTTATTGTATAGCCTTGGCTGGCCTGGAAATTGCTATACAGACCAAGTTGGCCTAAAGCTTACAGAAATCCTCCTGCCTCCTCCTCCTGAGTACCAGGACTGTACCACTACAACTGGCAAATCTTAAATTCTTAAGCTGTTTGGGACCCCACTGGAGGAAAGGCAAATGCAAGCCTCAGAACAAACAGCAACAAAGCAGGGCCCATCTTGCGTGTAAGTGTGCAAGTGTGAGTGCTCTCAAACCCCTGGCAACCAAGTCAGAGGCACAAGCCATGCCCAAAGACCCATCCTATCCCTAAAGGAGACTTTTGGTTTTCCCAGTCAGAGTTTCTCTGTGTAGCCCTGGCTGTCCTGGACCTCACTCTGTAGACCAGTCTGGCCTCGAATGCAGAGATCCACCTGCCTCTCCTCCTTTGTACTCCTTTGTACTTAGGGTGATCCTCTTGTGAGTGCTGGAGTGACGGTTGTGAGCCACACTCCCCACACCCACTTACTGCAAGGGAATACACACAGTACAAAGCTGTGAGACTTTGTAATACCTTCAATTCCAATGCGAATGTTCTTCAGGCCCCGTTCCTTTAACAATGTCTTAGCAACATCCCGATTCTCGATATATTTGAAGAATCTGTAGAGCTTGGAGCTGTAAAGTACTGACACAAAACAAAGCCCACAAAAGCTGGGTTAGTCACAGAGGGGAATGAATGAGGTGACAATCAGCAGGGAGCTATGTAACCCATGATGGCACTCAGAACCCTGGGACTGCTGGCTTGCAGTGAGTCTGCTGGGGCAAGCTTTGCAGCATGGCTTTTGAGAGGCAGGGAGGCAGTGTGCCACTCACACACGGCCTTTTTTTTTTTTTTTTTAATTATTATTCTATGTTTTTGGAAACAAGGTCTCATTGTGTAGCCCTGGTTGTCCTGGGTAGGCAGGTCTCTGTGAGACCAGCCTGTCTCAGGAAAAAAAAAAAAAACAAAAAAACAAAAAACAAAGTCACGTGTCATTTATGTATATAGTTTCAATGTCCTGCAAGGCGAGTGAGTCAGAGCCCGTTCATGAATGGAGTGTTAAGCAGCCCTAGGAGGACTGCACAGCTTTTCCATAGAGAACACAAGCAAAAGGAAACCTCCTTCCTTCTGCAATGCACGTGGTGAGTGCACCAGTCTGAGTATGCGTGTGGGGGACAGGGCAGGGTGTACCAGCCTTAGCATGCGTGTGGGGGACAGGGCAGGGTGTACCAGCCTGAGCATGCATGTGGGGACAGGGCAGGGTGTACCAGCCTGAGCATGCATGTGGGGGACGGGACAACCTGGGCTTTCAGTCTTTGCCCGCCAGCTTGTTTGAGACAGGGTCTCTGCCTTGCTATTCCCGCTGCGCACTGCAGGGCTATCTGGCCCATGCGGTTCCAGGGATCCCGTCTCTCCTCCCTAAGGAGCTCTGGTGACTGCACGTGTTATCCCACCCAGCTTTGCGATGGGTTCTGGGCATCTCAACTTGGGGCCTCACAATCGCATGCCAAGTGCTTTTCTCACTGAGTCAACTTCCCAGCCCACTTTTTAAGTTTTGAATTAATACCAAGTCAACAAGATTTCAATGAAATGAGAATTTAACCTCCAACATGAGTATGTGACAATGCCATCCAATGGCGGAGCCATGGTAGCAGAGGCTAGGCCTGTACTGTTGCCCGCCAGCTGAAAACATGCACCCTACAGGCTCCTACTTTGGGAATACTCTTCCCCCATGGGTGGGGGGTGGTCTTCATCCCAGTCCACAGAGTCCTCATCTGTCAGCACAACGATGTGGCACTCTCTCTCCCCTTTCTTGGCACAGCCCACCATGATGGGTAGAATCAGTTCCTCGAGGTAGTGATCAAACTGCTTGTGAGCACCATCGTTGGACAGCTCATGGAGCAAAGCACCTATGAGAGAAAAGGCAGATGAGCTGGCTCCCTGTCCCCATACACTGCCCAGTGGAGACAAGACGACCATCACACAGGACAGAGAAGAGGCATTCTGAGACCCCAAGGGGAATTAGCTTTGTACTTAGTCTGTCCGGCTTCACCATGACCCTTTCCTCACTGACACTACTCCTGCTTGTCACAGTTGACCCCACGGTCCTACCCAAGAGGGAAGCGGCAGCTCAGTGACTAGTTGGCCAAATTAGATTGGTAACTTTTATTCCTGGCCTGCACTTCCTGAACACTGAAGTCACAGGCATGTCTCACCATGCCAGGTGAGCTCTCAAACACTAAGTGCCATCCCCAGCCTTTTCCTTTGAGACAGGCTGTCACTCTGTAGCCCGTGTTGGCCCTGAACTTAGGGTGATCCTCTTGTGAGTGCTGGAGTGACGGTTGTGAGCCACACTCCCCACACCCACTTACTGCAAGGGAAGCAGCAGGATAGTTAGCAGATGTGCACCCACACCCCAGACCCTGCACTTGTTGCCAAGTGTAGCTGACAGCGGCTCCATACTCACTCAGGTCTTGACATCGGATGGTGTTGGAGTCAAAGTTAATGCAAAGATAGTCACACGTGTCTCTCAGATCCGGGATAGAGATGCCATCTGGACAGTTGATGACGCCAGTCTTATAGTAATCCTGTCAACAGGTCGGGAGGAAGACATGCATAGGAATGACTCCTCTAACCCTACCAAATGGTGGTGGGGTCACCCGGTCGGTGCATTGGAAGACAAAGTGGCTCCCATCTACCCAAGTTTAACCAGAGCTTGACAACTGACTGAGCTCACATATCGAGGAATTAGAAGTTACAGGCAGGAAAAATAAGAAAGGAAAGGCAACTGGATACCAGAGACCCGAGAGGGTGTAACACGCAGGCATGCAGGCCATGGAGACAGAAGGACAGAGCTACACACCAGCACTGTGCGGAACACAGCGGCGCTGATGCCTTCGGCAATCTCATACTCCCCCTTCTCATTGGGCCTTGTGAAGTTGTATTCTCTCCCTGGTCCAAACATTCTGAAAGAGACCAGCAACAGCGTCACCTTCTCCAGCAGGATATATAGAGGCGGTTCTTCTTGCCCTCTCCTGTACATTACCCTACTCTCGTGCAGCACACCTCAGGAAACCCCTCAGACAAAGAAGGAAAGAAGGCAGCACCCGGCTGAGACAGCAGGCACTGCACAGTGGCAACTGCAGTGTGCGGTGGAGCCTCACATGACACCCCCCCCTCCCCTGGGTGCTAATCTTCAGCGCTTCAAGTCTGCCCTCACCACCCACCTGTGAGGTCAACCTGTGCATTTCCTCCTGGCTCGTCTTCCCCTCTGGAAGCACCCACTCCAACAGGCTGCTCTAGCTATGGATTTCAGACAGGTGAGGTTCCTCTGCCATAGCCACGAGGAGGCCAGCTCTCACCATGAACTCAGGATCCAGGTTCAATTCCTGACACCCACACAGTAGCTCACACCCATCTATAACTCTAGTCCCAGGGCTCTGACACCCTCTCCTGGCCCCTGCAGGCACTGAATACACGCCCTGCACCAACATACCTGCAGACCAAACACCTACGTGTGTTAAGAAATAATCAACTGGCAAAAGCCAGGGCTTTAGTTCAGTAAAGTGCTCATCTTCTATGTCTGACAGCCTAGGTTCCTGGTTCAGTCTCCAATACTGCTAACCTATCCCCCAACTAGAAATGTGTGGGAGGCAAATGTTTTCCTAAAAAATGGTGTCACTGTTCTTGTTGATCATCTCTAACACTGTTTCTCACAGAAGGAAAACAACATGACTTCAGATTCAACTCAGCATCTCTGGCCCCTTGCATCTCAGAGAGCAGGCAGTATGTTTAAAGAGGGGTGGGGTTGAGGTTCAGCAGCTCCTGGGGTTCCTTAGCGGATACTCCTCATCTGGCTATACAAATGCAACCCTCCCAGCATTAAGGAATCAGGCTCCACCAACTCTCCTAGCCTTCCCCACAGAAGCCTGAAAGGAGAAAGTCAGCCGTGTACTGAGTTCAAGGCTGAACACCTCTACTACTACACAGAAGAAAACTGTCATTACCTTCCCAACATGGTGTCCGGGTGAGCAGTAAAAATCTGAGGGTTTACCACAAAGCGTGTGCCATCTACAAGAAGTGTCACTTTCTCTGGGGCTTGGGAGTGAGGGCTACCTCCAAAGCCTACCCCGCTGTTTCCAAATCTCTCTGAAACGATGAAGGGCTCGTGGCTCCGCTTGCTTCCACTCTGGAAGCATGAGCCCTTGCTGTCCTCAGGGAGCGGCATTACGGGAGGATGCTGAAGGCTTGCTGGCTGAGAGGCATACTCAAGTGCAAAATCTGCAAATCAGACAAACAGGTCACTCAAGAGCAAACGCCAGAGAGAAAAATTGTTGTTCTAAAACAAACACTAAAGCCATAGGTGTTCACAGCTAAAATACTAGTCTAGGGAAAATTAAAAACAAAAGTACACACTCTAAAGGCAGGCAGGGCTCTCAATCTGAGGCTAGCCTAGTCTACAGAGCAATTTCCAGGACAGCCAGGACCGCAAATAAACCCTGTCTTGAAAAACCAAAACCAGCAACCACCCCTTCACAAAAGTAGCTGTGTAACTCTTTGCCTGTGTGGCATGGGGTGCATGGAGATTAAAGACAGAACAGCTACACTTTCAAGTGACTGCAATTCTAGAGTAAACAAAGCACAGTGAGCAGTGAGAGACTGGACCAAAGAGCAGGGCTTGCATGATGGCCCAGCAGTTTCCTGCCAGTCCTCAGAAGCTCGTGTTCAGGAATCAGGCTCCACCAACTCTAACTAGGCAAAGATGCCTTACAGCATTTGTTTAATTAGAGCCAACAGCTAGGCAGGGCTGGTGAGTAGAGAGGGGAGAGAAGAGAACAAGGGAGAAAGAGACGGATATGCCCAGGGACAGAAGCCAGGCTGCTGCCAGCCAGATACCAGAAGCAGTGAAAGTAAGATGTACAGAAGAAAACAAAGGTAAAAAGCCCCGAGACAAAGTGTAGATAAGAGAGAGAGAGATTAAAATAAGAGACAAAATGAGGCTGAGCATTCATAGCCAATACTAAGTCTCAGTGTCTTGATTTGGAAGCTGGTTGGTAACTCATAAAAGCCTGATATATACTTTCATTTCCACTTCTAAATAACACTTACATCCCCTTGCTGTCTTATTTGAGATTTTGTCTTTGGACTGTGAGTGTGAATGTGTACCCAGGGAGGCCAGAAGAAGTCAGATCCCTGGAACTGGAGTTTCAGGTGGTAAGGCGCCGCCCAACATGAGTGCTGGCGTGGCCTTAAACTGTGTATAGCTGAAGTTAGTGTCTGATTTCTAATCCTTCTCCCTCTACCTCCAAGAACTGGGATTACAGCACGTGCCATCACACTTGGTCACACAGAGCGAGAGCCCCATGCATGCCAGGAGTCTAGACTGTACTCTAGACAGCTACAGCCCAAGCACTGCTGTCTGTATTTTAGGAACTTACCACTACTGTGTGCTAAAACTCCATTTTTAGTCTTCAAAGCTGTTGTTTAATTTGCCAGAAAGAATGAAGTCTTTTCCTAAACTTCATTACTGTTCCCAGAACTTCTCAGAGCCTGCTAGAGGATCCCACCCAGTGGTACCCACACACGTCAGCTTTCCCACCAAAGGACCTGGGGGCAGCAGCAAAGTCCCAGTGCAAATGGCATTGGGAGTTAGTTACTCTTGGGAATCTCATTTTTTTTCTATCACCAAAAGGCTATTTTCTTTCAATTTATTTAAAAATCCCCTCTTCCACTTCTAGGCAGGGTCTTGTGTAACCTAGGCTGCCCTTGAACGAAGGCTATAAGTGGAAGATGACAGTGCTGGGATTACAGGTATGTGACGTCACATGTGGTTTGCATGGTACTGAGGACCAGCACATAAATATCCAGGGTACCATGACTGTTAAGACAAGCGAGGTCAGCCACTCTTTAGTGCGCACATTTGCTTTGTATTTTAAAAGTGTGTGTCACACACACCTGACAACCTCAGTTTGAGTCCCGGAACCCACAGAAAGGTGGGAGGAGAGAACTAACTCCATAAAGTTGCCCTCTGACCACCTGTACATGCCATGACATCCATAAAACTTTATTAACAAGGAGTTGTTGATCAGTGGGTAAAGTATTTACTTAGCATACTTAAAGCTCTGTGTTTGACCCCAGCAATACACTTCAGCACTGGGGAAATGGAGGCAGGAGAATCTGAAGTTCAAGGTCAGCTACCTAACAAGTGAGGCCAGTCTGAGCTACCTGAGGTACCCCCCCCCCCCCCCCCCACAACAAAAACAAAACCCTAAAATCTTAACAAAAATGGGCTGTAGCCATTTTGTAACCTCTGCTCTAAACAATATACTATGGGCTGGAGAGACAGCTCAGTGGTTAAGAGCACTGCCTGCTCTTACAGAGGTTCTGGGTTCAATTCCCAACACCCACATGAAACTTCAGTTCTGGGTGATCTGATGCCCTTTTCTGGCCTCCATGGACCCCAGACATTCGTGCATGCAAAGCACTCATACATACAAAAAATATATAGGTGAAAATTTTTATGCATTTGTACTCAGTAAATGGTGGTTACCTTTTTAAAGTTATAGGCTGAAAAATATCAGAAAAAAGTCCAGCCAGTTAAGAATTAGCAATCGAGCCAGGCGTTGGTGGCGCAAGTCTTTAATCCCAGTACTTGGGAGGCAGAGGTGGATCTCTGAGTTCGAGGCCAGCCTCGTCTACAGGGCAAGTGCCAGGATAGGCTCCAAAGCTACACAGAGAAACCCTGTCTCGAAAAACAACAAAAAAGCAACAACAACAACAACAAAAAATTAGCAATTAAGATAGGCATGGTGGTACATGTCTTTAATCCCAGCACTCAGGAGGTAGAGTCAGATGGGTCTCTGTGAGGTTTTTTTTTTTTGTTGTTGTTGTTTTTCGAGACAGGGTTTCTCTGTGTAGCTTTGGAGCCTATCCTGGCACTGGCTCTGGAGACCAGGCTGGCCTTGAATTCACAGAGATCCGCCTGCCTCTGCCTCCCGAGTGCTGGGATTAAAGGCGTGTGCCACCAACGCTGGACCAGGTCTCTGTGAGTTTGAGAGCAGTCTGGCCCAAAGAGTGAGTTCTAGGAAAGCAAGGGCTATACAGGAAAAAACAAAACAAACAAACAAAAAAAAACCAACCCTATCTTGAAAAAAAAACAAAAACCAAAAAAACAAAAACAAAAACAAAAAAAACAAACAAACAAAAAAAACCAACCAAACATAAAAAACCACCACCAAAACAAACAAGAGTTCCAGGAAAAAAAAAAAAAGTTAATTACAGTCATCTGAGAGTGAGGCATGATAGCGTATGCCTGTCTGTCACTGCAGTCCTCAGGAGGCAGAGGCAAGAAGGCTGCTCTGGGTTCAGGAAAACCTGGTCTGCAGTGAATACAGGCCAGCCAGCCATATTCAAGACTCCTGTAAGCCTGCCCACAAGAGCAGGAACTGTCCCCCATTGACACTGACCCAGCAGCCCTCTGAGGAAGGGCGACTATGAACAATTCTGTCCACTCTATTTACAAGCGGAACTCTGAGTGGAGGTCTCATCGAATTATAGTGACAGGACCACAGCAAGGTCAGCCTGTCTCCTGATTCCAAGTGTGCAGCGGTTTGTCTTACACTCATACGCCAGGTGGATGGGCCAGGCTGAAGGGAGTGTTTTATGGAGGTCAGCCAGATCCACCGTGGAAGTGTGACTGTCTGCCAGGGTTAAGACTCTCCACTTGGGTGTGTGTATCATTCCCCATGGCTGTACCTTCACTCCTGGTAGCTAGGGGTGAGTGAGAGTACGAAGTCCATGGGACACCAAGCTGCTGCTGCTTTCTTTCTTTCTCTTGAGTGGCAGCTAAGGTCTCATCTCCTAGGCAGCTGAGCTCTGGCTGTAATACCCTGTCGCCATCACTGCCCTGATGAACACTCATTCTTAGAGAGGAAGCCTGGAAGACAAGGAATGTGTATGGTTTAGAAATCAGGAAACGGGTTCCCAAGGACTTCCGTGGTTTGTAGTGTTGCTAAAAGACATCTATCTGTAACATCAGTGGACCCAGATGGCTTTCACAACCACTATGAATTTGTGCAGTTGGTACAGGGATCATCTTTCCTTGTTTTGAGACAAGGTCTCAGATTAAATCATATGCCACTATGCACTATAATTCCTACATATTAAGTGGCGGAACATAATTTGGTATCACTCATGCCACAAATCAAGAGGTGGCAAAAGGAGTTCAACAGCTGGAGTCTGCCTTTGTTGTTTGTTGACTTGTAGACAGGGTTTCTCTGTGTAGCCTGGCTGTCCTGGAACTCGACTCTACAGACCAGGCTGACTTCAAACACAGAGATCCGCCTGCCTCTGCCTCCTGAGTGCTGGGATTAAAGGCGTGCACCACCACCACACAGCTCTGCTAATGTTAAAAAACAAACAAAAGGCTCTGGTGGCACAAGCCTTTAATCCCAGCACTGAGAGGTAGGTAGATCTCTGTGAGTTAAAGACCAGCCTGGTCTACAGAGCGAGTTCCAGGACAAGCTTCAAAGCTACACAGAGAAACCCTGTCTTAAGAAAGAAACCAAACCAAACCAAACAAAAACAAAAACCCAAAACCGGCATATGACACCTTCAACTATTAGGCATCCCAAAATCACAACCAAAAGCCACACTAAAGTGAGTGATGGCTAGCACAGATGCTCAGAACTGCTCCAAGTGCTAAGAACAAGCAATACACCAAGTGCTCATCTCTAGAGAAGAACTCGTATCAACCACCCTAAGGCCCAGGCGACATCCAAGAAGAGTTGGAGAGAAAGGACCTGGAAGGTGAGGGTCCCTATGAACACCATGTCCTCAGCCAGACATGCCTGTGCACAAGTGAGCTCACAGCAGCTACTGTAACCTGCAAGTATCAAAACAGTTGAGCATCCTAGCATGGAACGGGAGGTGGCCACAGGCAGGATGCCCATGCCCCAGTGCTCCATCCCATACCCCACCCTGCACCACAGGCAGCACTACTTAAACACAAAGGTATGATGCTGGGAGGAGCTGGGAGAGAGAGAGTTGGAGGGAAAGAATTCACACAAGTGAATTTTTCAAGGACTTTAGAAAACAGAAAAAAGAAGCTGGAGAGAGGCACAGGTAGGAGTGCATGTCACTCCTGCAAAACGTCTGAGTTTGGTAACGAGAGCTTTCAGTCCTGGATGGTCCCCTCATCCCTTAAAGCCCCAAATAAACACAGACACTATATTAGTTATGAAACTGTTGGCTGGTGACTAGGCCTTCTTTTTGGCTAGCTCTGTCTTTATTAGCGCATGTTTTATTAATCTATGTATTTCCTATTGTCTCCTAGTCCCGCTCATCTTCCTGTCTCATTGGCCCACCGCCAAACAGTGTTTTATTCACCAACCAACGTAAAACACACAATTTAATTAAGTTAATAAAACAAGAGAACTTTGACTTGTGCTGCTTAAGTTCTTTTTACCTTCCTTTTTTCCACCTTCTATTTTTTTTTAAGATCTACACATTTACTTTATGTACATTGGTGTTTTGCCTGTATATACTTGGTGTAAGGGTGTTGCGTTCCCTGGAACTGGAGTTACAGACAGTTGTGAGCTGCCATGTGGTTGGTAGGAATTGAACTCAGGACCTCTGGAAGAGCAACCAGTGCTCTTAACTGCTGAGCCATCTTTCCAGCCCCTCCACCTAATTCTTACATGCACTGCTAAATCATACTTGCTATAAAGCTTCCTTGTCACTTCTACCCACAAGCAGCCCACAATCCCCTACAACGCACACACTGTAGTCCTCTAGACTGATGGGGAAAACTAAGCAAGCATGATTTCTACCACTTTCCTCTTCCAGAGAGCTGACATTTTAGATTTTATTTATAGGATCCTTTCCCAGTAACCCAAGTTTTCAGCAGGGAGCCTGAAGAAAGAATTCCAACAGGAAAGGCACTCTCTTCTGGTAAGGAGTGAGACAGTAAAATTCTGGGTTTTGTAGGCCATGCTACCACACTGCAGAAGCAGCCAGGAGCAATTCACAAATTGGTGAACACAGCTGTGTTTTTTTTTTTTTTTTTTTTTGAGGCAGGGTTTCTCTGTTGCTTTGGAGGCTTGTCCTGGAACTGGTCTCTAACTCTAGAGATCTGCCTGCCTCTGCCTCCCGAGTGTTGACATTAAAGGCATGCAACACCACCACCTTGCTCACAGCTGTGTTCTAATAAAGCTGTTTACAGACATGGGTACCAGTGAACAGCAGCCTGCTGCTCTGGACACACAAGATCTAACCTAACTGAACCCAGGACTGCAGAACATCGTTTTCAAGCACTCTTGGCTACTTGGTTAGAGCTGAACACAATCAGCAGCATGGCATCATACATTTAAATGGACTCTGTAGCTGTGCTCTCAGGGACAGTGTGACAGTAACTGACAATAAAAACCAATGTCTGCAAGCGATGGAAAACAAGGCAACATACTTCACAATAACCTGGGTTAAAGAAAAAAAAAAAGGAAATCACAACAGGATATAGGAAATATTTTCAGAGAATATCAATCCCAGTACTTGGGAGGCAGAGGCAGGTGGATCTCTACATAGAGTGAGTTCCAGGACAGCCAAGGCTTCAAAGAGAAACCCGTCTTTTTTTTTGGGGGGGGGTATTTTCAATTGAATGACAAAATACAACAGAAGCTTTTTATGTTTATTTTTTGAGACAGGGTTTCTCTGTATTGCTTTGGAGGCTATCCTGGAACTCACTCTGTAGACCAGGCTGGCCTCAAACTCACAGAGATCCACCTGCCTCTGCCTCCTGAGTGCTGGGATTAAAGGCGTGCGCCACCAACACCCGGCAACACAAGCTATCTTAAGGTAAAGAAATATCAACAGCATTAACATAAACACACTGGCAAAGAACAAAAAAAGACACAAAAGATCCTTCTTGACAAACACCTTCCCAAAGGCTATATAAGAAAAGGAGGGTAGAAATCCGAGAAAAAGAAAGTGTGCCACTGTGCTGTTCCACACCACTAAGCCCAGGGGGCACTGTGGAGCAGGAGGAGCCTGTGACACAGTGAGGTTCTGTCTCAGAAAGACCAAAACCTGACAGGTGGGGACAAGACAGTGCTGTCAGGGGTAGAAAGCTGACTTAACAGGCCCCAACTGATAAATCACAGGGCTCAGCAGGCAAAGGCACCTCCCAGCACCACAGGGAGGAAGGAAGAACTAACTTCTGCACTCTGTCCTGCCATCTACATGCAAGTCCCCCCACAAAATACTTGAAATAACTTCATTAAAAAGAGCAGTAAGAACAGGATGTTAGGTTTTAAAAACAGATGGACGAAGAAAATCTATATGCTAAAACTCATCAACAACAACCAGGGGTAATGGTTCCACAACCTGTGGTTACAGTAAAAATCACAAAACTGTATTACACTTCACAAGGATGAGGTAAGACACTGAAGACTCATTCAGTAAAGTGCTAGTCTTTCAAGCGTGAGGACTGGAGCCTGATGTCTGGATCCCACACTAAGAAAGTGGGCACTTGCTGGGCGAGGTGGCGCACACCTTTAATCCCAGCACTCGGAAGGCAGAGGCAGGGGGAGATCTGTGAGGTTGGGGTCAACCTGGTCTACAAGAGCTATTCCAGGACAGCCTCCAAAGCCACAGAGAAACCCTGTCTCAAAAAAAACAAAACAAAAACAAAACTAAAAAATTTTGTTGGGCTGGAGCGATGGCTCAGAGGTGAAGAGCACCTACTGCTCTTCCAGAGGTCCTGAGTTCAATTCCCAGCAACCACATGGTGGCTCACAACCATCTATTATGAGATCTGGTGCCCTCTTCTGGTGTGCAGATATTCATGGAAGCAGAATGTTGTATACATAATAAATAAAATCTTAAAAAATTTTTTTTTGTTTCAAGGGCTGGAGAGATGACTCAGAGGTTAAGAACACTGGCTGCTCTTCCAGATCCTGAGTTCAATTCCCAGCAACCACATGGTGGCTCACAACCATCTGTAGTGAAATCTGGTGCCCTCTTCCAGCCTGCAGGCATACATGCAGACAGAACACTGTTAACATAATAAATAAATAAATCTTTTAAAAAATGTTTGCTTCATACTCAGAAGTTTTAACAATATCCCATAAAGGGGCTGTAGAGATGGCTCAGTGGTTAAGAGCATTGACTGCTCTTCCATAGGTCCTGAGTTCAATTCCCAGCAACCACATGGTGGCTCACAACCATCTGTCATGAGATCTGGTGCCCTCTTCTGGTGTGCAGATATACATGGAAGCAGAATGCTGTATACATAATAAATAAACAAACAAAATCTTAAAAAACAACAACAACAAAAAAAACAAATTTCATGACCTAAGTCCTACCCCAAATATGCAAATACTTCCAAAATGAACTCTGTTGCACAGCATTTAGAGTCTGGGACACGCCAGCTGTATCTTTGTGTGTGTACATGAGTATCCATGCTCACATATGTTTGTGGGGACCAGAGGGTGACATCTGGTGTCTTGTTCTATCACTCTCCATCTTGTATTTGAGATAGTCTCTCAGTAAATCGAGCTCACCACCTGAGTGGCCTGGCTGGCTAATGTGCCCCTAACCATGCTGGACTATAGCATGTATTAACTATCACACTTGGCTCGCACAGCAGGCAACTCACTGAGACGTCTCCCTGGACCCTCAACCTTCATCAGGGACACAAATATGTCCAGCACCACAAAACCTGAAGATTAGTGATTATGGCAAAAATTGAATTTTTGGAAGAACATACAGTTCAGATTAACACAGAAAATAGTCTTAAAAGTCCTGGGGGAGGGGGGCGGGCTGGAGAGATGGCTCAGAGGTTAAGGGCACTGGCTGCTCTTCCAGAGGTCCTGAGTTCAATTCCCAGCACCACATGGTGGCTCACAACCATCTGGTGCCCTCTTCTGGCTTGCAGGCAGATATACATGCAGAATACTGTAAACG